AGTTCAAAACCACCAGCAGCCCCGTGGGAGAAAGACTGGACTTTCTACTCTTGTAAACAGTTACAGGTTCAGAAAGCCACAGGAGCTCAGTATCAGTCAGCATTGACTCAATGGCAGAGAGGGAGTTACATTCCTACAATACTACTTGCACCTTCCAGTCAAGTCCAGTAATGTCTGCTCAGAATAGGCTCCAGGGCAGTGAGCGTTTAATAAGGTGACCAGACGTCCCACTTTTGGCGTGACAGTCCTGATTTTTAACAATTTTCCCCGCATCCCACGATGTTTTTAAAAAGTCCCGATTTTTGGAAAGAAGGCACGACAAGCTAGGGTATATGGTTGTCGGCTGCCATGTGGCTATTTCGCCAGGATATGAGTTTTATCAATGGTGTCCCGCTTTTATCCGGCTCTACCAATGTTAAAATCTGGTCACCTTAAAAGTTTAGATGGATATCTGCCTTGACACAGAGTTTTAAGATACATGTCTATTGTACTTCCACTAGAAAGCAAATTATTGGAGGGCAGCCTTGTGTCATATTGTGTTATGGTCGAGTACTGAGTGTTTACTTTGTGCTAAGAACACTGCCAACCATGTTCCAACCATCACCTTTTTTCATCCGAAAGAACACATCTATGAGGTAGATACTCTCATGATTCCCACTTGACAATGTGGGAAGTGGTACACAGAGAGGGTGAATATTTGACGAAGGTCACACAGAGAAAAAGTATCAATACTAAGATTTGATCCCAAGTCTATCTGATTCCAAAGAATAAACTTGAACTTCATGTATTTTCACCCATGTTCTTCACTGAAATTCCTCTCCCTGCTAGTGTCAAAGATTTGCACATGATATGCACCTAAGAATCATTTGTTGAAATAAATAAAATAATACATCAATTCCATTTCATATAGTTCAATCATTTTGAAAAAATTATCTTCATAAAGAATGAAAAGAAAAACAAACAAAATAAAAGAATAAAAAATAAGCAAAGGTTGTTAGGGATTGGGGATGGAGAAATTTGAATAGATGAATAGGTTCAGCAGATATAATGTTTATAAAAATTATAGTAATATTGTATGTATATAAACTTATAACCACCACCACCACCCAAAATCCCCCAAGACTATAAATCTTTATGGGAGAAGACAACTTCATCTTTCTCCCTAGGATTCCTAGGTGGGTTTGAACCACTGATCTTGTAGTTAGCACCATTAGGCTCTTACCAAGTTCTAAAATGTGGGGTTACTAAGCACTGTTGGTATAAGCAAGTAAAAACATAGAGCAGGTGGGATTAATCAGAAGAGTGGGTGGCAAGTGGAGAAGAAGAGTCCTAGATTGGGCCTCAGGTTGTGCTAAAAGCAACCAGCAAGTACACACACACACACACACACACACACACACACACACACACACCTAACCTGCTGCTGTGGTGTCCATTCTGACTCATGGTGACACCACGTGGTGCAGACAGAGGAGCAGGGTTCCAGGGAGCTCTGCTGGCTGTCATCTTTACAGAAGTAGATTGGCTGGCCTTCTTTCTCTGAATGGGTGTTCCCTGGCCACGTTAGACCACCCAGAGACCTTGGCCGGCAGGACTAGACCACTGGAAATGGTAGTCCTCCATACGAGATCATTTCACAGCATAGCATGGCATAGCATTGCGATGAGCACAAGAGTAGAGAGCAAGGGGTAAGCACATGCATATAAAAGCCTGCTGTTTCCTCTTTCCAATGTTTTAAGAGAACCCAAGAGATTCTGATGGCACAGGGGGAAGAAATTAGACCTACAAGTTCTATCAGTTAAATGTGGGGTTTTTTGGTGCCCATTTCTTCATTTCTAGTCCTCAAACAATTCCTATAGTAAGAACAAAGAGTCACTTCTGGGCCGGGCCTTCATGGAAATGTTTAAACCTTCTGAACAGTTGTTATTGTTTTCAGCAAGTTATCAGTTGGTTCTGGTATGGCCATCGGCTGGAGGGACTACGATCTGAAATTCAATTTAGTTGTTAAGATCGCCTAAACTTGTATTCCCTGTCATTTCTGTGAAGGTGTGTTTTAGACATAGGCAGGTGTCCACACATGAGAATCTGTATCGAATCTCAAGCATAGAGAGCGATCAATTATCTGACCACAGAAGGGAAGGAGGCCCGATGGGGAGTCGCCTGCCCTCCCAGGTCACAGCATCCATTCTCTTTATTAATTATTAAATTATGAGTCTTTCCTTGGGCCATCAACTCTAAGCAGCAACTGCCCCTGTGAATCAATATGCTGCGCCCCAGGTGAAGTCTAGCTGAATGGAAGGCAGGAAGCCATCCTGCAGTGGTTGCCTTCCAATCAAGTAATTATTTACTACACTGCCATCTGTCTTTATTTTGCTCAGCGACTTGATCAGACACAGCAGTATCCCGTCCTCCGAGATGGTCATAAATTGCCTAGTACTTACACGGAATACTGGACCACAATCTATTGCAAATCATGTTTCATCACTTGACTTCCTACCAGTACAATTTACATTCGCTGTTATAGTTGGCAAACGTGCTAAATACCCCTAGGAAATGAACAATAGGAAATACAGCATTTGTGCATCTGTGTGTTGTTGGACAATAAATTAATTTATTAAGAGAAACGATAAGCTACCAGTATTGAACGAGTTGCTGTAGTATATAAGTTATAATGTTATGAGCATCGATCTTACTTATATGACAAGTTATTCTCCTCACATATTCCTGGGTCGCAGTATAGAAATAATTGTCATTAGCTGGTAAATTACCTATAATGCTGATTTCCATTCACTGCTTTATTAACTACGGTATATGGGCACTCTGAATTGCCATATTTTCTTTAAATTATAATCTGTGATGACACTGCGGTGCTCATGTTGGGAAAGCTTTGATGATGATCATTAACATACTGCAATGCAATACTTAAGATTTATCAGGCTCTTATTAAGCCCTAGCCTATAGTATCCTATAATGAAATGGAAGCTTATTTCTTCTGACTCAAAACCTCATTTGAAGTTTGTGTCCTAAATGACAGAAGCTCCAAAACAATACATGGAAATGTAGCATAAAGTTAATTCTGGTCATTATGCTGTTGCCTTTTTTTTTTCTTTCCCCGTATGTTCTTCATGGAGTTGTGGGTTGCGGTTGTTGTTGCTTTTTCGGTTCACTCTACATAGTTGGTCCTTATAATTATTTTATTAGCACCCACTGTATTTTCCCTTTCTTGGCTAAGTAGCAGAAGTATTTCAAACATCAAAGTTGATTTAAATAGGATACGTCCCCTGGGAAACTAAAAGGGGATGCAGTTTGCTGCCGGGTTTCTTTCAGAAATACTGCAGAATTCAGACACCCTATTGCTTTGTAGAACGAAACGGATGGTGCATTTTGGTGGCTCGGGTCAATATTTTTCACGACATTTTATCTTTCAGCTTGCAGAGATCAGCATTCCATACAAAGCCAATGTGTATTCTGAATACAAACTGTATATTGTATGCTCATTTTATCACTGGGGGAGGAGACACATATCAAAGCAAGCCTAAGATGTTACCAGCAGAACAGGTCTTTGCATTTTAGCATTTTGTGATCAATCACCCTCAGTGGCAATCTTCCATAGACAGGCCGTCTTGGCATTGGAATCTTAAGGATACATGGAAATAGCTTTGACCCATTCTCAGATCTCAAATTTCACCGTTGCTTTTATTACAGCATAGAACCCGAGTGGCATAGTGGTTATGCATTGGGCTGCTAACAGCTGAGTCAGCAGTTCAAAACCCCTAGCCGCTCTGTGGGAAAGACAAGAATGTCTCCTCCTGTAAAGACTTACAATCTCAGAAATCCACAGGCTACCTTGTCCTATAGGGTCACTATAAGTCAGATTCGACTGATGGCAATGAGTTCTTTTTAAAAAAAATCATTATTTAAGTCATTGTTAAAGATAGTACCGAGATAGAATAGCAGATTGCCTTCAAAGAGCTATCAGTCTGAATTTCAGCTCTACTAACACTAAACCTTGTGGGTTGTGGAAAAGCCTCAATGGTATCAGCTTTAAAAAGGGCACAACAATGGTATTTTCCTGACAGAATAGTTGGGAAGATAAATGGTATAATACGCAGATTTGTGAACATGAAGTATAATATTTAGTACCTAATAGGTGCTTGAGAATATTAGATGTTGTTACTAATTGATGAAATTCTATAGCCAAGTGCTTCATCATAGTGCTACCAAGAGCTCTTTGATATATAGTAAGTACATTTTCCACCACCATCACCCGCCCAATGTCTGCTGAACTAAGGAAATTAACATGTAACTAAACGTTAGGTTCATGTCTTCAGTGGGGTTAGTATTCGTTTGATCTTATAGTGAAGTTCAGATGAGGAGAGAAGCCGTAGCTTGGTGTACTGGCCTAAAATAGCAGCAGCTTTTTAGAAGTGGCCATAAAGCCATATGCACAGGATATATTTACATTTTAAGACAAACAAGCATACCAAATTCCCTGCCATGAAAAAGCAGAGCCACTAATCTGAATTAGTGTTTCTGCCTCCTGCTTAGATTAGCGATTCACAGCATAATACACCCAGGCTCATTTCCATGTTAGCTACAAAGCCAATCATAGAGTCCTAAAAACAAAAAGCATGTTTTCCCAAAGAAAGAATTAATCTTCATTTTCTAAAACACCTTGCAGAAATTAATTTGGCAGGTTATTTTACCGATGGTGTTTATTTTCAGTGGTGCTGGCTTTGGGTGTCCGTGATAAGAAAAATAATGGATGGGTACCTTGAGATCTTTGATATTTCTGGTGCGCAGGACCAAGGCCAGTTAAGTTGGGCGGGAAGGAAGCTTGGGAGGAGCAGCATGCACACCCAGGGTCAGCCCTGGGGGGCAAGCGCCATGGTGGGCAGTTTGTCAGTAGCTCCACCGATGTGTACTTAGTATCTGGAATAGTACTGACTTCGAGTAGGTGTTCAGTCAGTATTTGTAGGTGGAACAAAAGAAGTACATACCTTGCACCTGGAGCACCTGAGAGATGTCAAATCCTTGGCTGATTCTGACGATGACCACACCAATCTCAAAATCAAATGCATCACTGAAAGTGAAGTAAAATCGTTAGCGAGTTGAATGACTCCTGTAGTCCTCACATTGTGAGCAAATATGCCACGTGCTCCTAGGATTTTGATCTAAAGGTCAGCTATTGACCATTACACTTTAGAATATAGCTGGAAACTGGTGACTCTTCCGCTGGTTTCTTCTCTCTTTTATCCCTTTTAACAATATATCCTTGCTATAGCCAAACCAAAGCAAAGCCAGCTGCCCTCCCATCGATTCCGGCTCCTGGAGAGCCATGCTGCACAGGACAAGGGAGCTCCGTGGTGTTCTCAGGGAGGTGAGCTCAGAAGCAGAGCATCAAGCCTGTCCCCTGAGGCACTTTTTCCCAGTCCTAGAGACCTTGGCTGCCTGTGCACCTCTATCCTGGCGGGTAGTGGTGACTAAATCATTCATTCTGGAGCAACTCGATTAAAATAATACTATCGATTTCAATTCTGACTTAGGGATTTCCAGGTACTTCTAAAACAATAGATTCCTTTATAAGGAAAAAGAAGCAATGGCTGAAATAAGAGCAGAGCATTTTCAATGCTACATTTCCAAACTCAAACTCTCTGCCTTTGAGTCCACGCTGACTCATGGTGACCTTATAGGACAGGGTAGAACTGCCTCTATGGTTTTCCAAGACGGTAACTCTTTACAGGAGTAGGAACCCTTTCTCCTGAGGAACAATTGGTGGTTTTGAACTGTGGACCTTGCAGTTAGCAGCCCTTAACATAACCACTACGCCAACAGGGCTCCTCTTTCAAGCTACATAGACAGACCCTATCAGCAAGTTCCTGCCTGAAAATCTTTTCAATTCCTCTCAGGAACTTCCACCATTGACTCTGGACAGGTCATTCAAGGAAATACTTTTTCACAGCAACTCAATGTAGCTGAAGATAGCTCTTGTGTATACTCTACATGCAATCAATGGGATTTGATTCTCTAGAAAGGTTCTCTCTGCCTTATCTCTGTTTCTGTAGAATATTTTTTCTCTAGTCCTAAATAGGGAGCCAAGACAATTAATACTTTGAGTTCATAAAACATGTTATTCTCAGGCGTTCTTTTGTTCGATCGAGCCACGCTGTTGCTTGTCACTGGTTTTCAATGGACAAAGTAAATCTGGTTTTTCAGATAATGATATAAATAAGCTCGATGCAATATGAAAAACTAATATAAAAATTCAAACCACAAATGATCTTCACAAAACAAAGCTGATCTGTGTTAGCAAACATTGGCAGATCATAAATTCTTGATCAGCAAATGCTTAATTGCCTTCGATTACAAAAAAATGGATACTGTGGTCAACCAAAAATGAATTGCATTCTGAGTTAATCAAAATAATGCCTCCCCAACAATATCTGTGTCCTACTTGCCAAAACCGGTGAATATGCTGTTACAGGGCAAAGGGGACTTTACAGGGGCAGGTAAGAAGTTTTGTTACAAAGGGTCTTAACATACGAGACCTTTTTTATATATCCCAAGGTGATCTGGGTATATATAGTAGGGCCTGATGTAACCCCAAGCACTGGCATCAGATGCAGGGTGCGAACCATACCTCGTGACAATGCTGGGGGTAAGGGGCAGGGGTGACAGGAAAACGACTGCTTGTCAAAGTTTTGTGCAATGTTTCAGCAGAAATTCATTCATTTGTTTGTTTATTAAAAAAAACCCTGTAGTTAGTTATAACAATAAAGACAATTTTCATTAACCCAGCTTACATATATAAATATATATATAATGCTATAAGTTTATGTTAACCGACTTTTTAAACCTTCTAATGCCCTCCAACCCTTCATCTGCCATTTATCCTACTGTGGGGCTTACATGTTGCTGGGCTACTAGAAGCCATGTCACTGGGATTTCAAGTAACAGCAGGGTCATCCATTGTGGACAAGTTTAAATGGAGCTTCCAACTAAAACAGACTAGGAAGGAGAACTGGGCAATCTACTTCTGAAAAAATTGGCCAGTGAAAAACTTATGATGAGGGGTGGGACGTTGTCTGAAATGGTGCGTAACAATGAGCTCCTCAGATTGGAAAGTATTTAAAGGGAAAAGCTGCCTTCTTAAAGTAAAGTTGACTTTAATGATATGAATGGAATAAAGTTTTCAGGACCTTTTTTGATTTGGCATGGTTTATTGATGTGGCATGGCTCAAAATGAGAAGCAACAGGTAGAAACCTGCATTAATAATCATAATGTGGAAAATCAAAGCATGAATCTAAGAAAATTGGAAGACATCAAGAGTGAAATGGACACCCAAAGGCATTAGTGTGCTGAAATAGATTGGTACTGGATCTTTTGGACACTCAATTACTCTACAATGCCAAGAATTACAAATCGAAGCAGAATAGCATCACATCTTTGTCAGAAAGAACATTTTGAGATCTGTCATGAAACACTGCTGTCAGTGACAGAATAGTATCCATATGCCTATAAGGGAGATCAGCTATTATAGCTATTATTGAAACTTAAATACCAACATTAAAGTCAAGGATGAAAAGATTAAAGATTATTATCAACTTCTGAAGTTGAAATTGATCAAGCATGGACTGTGGAAGTTGGACACAAAGAGGAAGGATTGGAAGTAGGAAAATGCAGACAGAAATGATGCCAGATTGATAGCATTTGATAAGACCAGCATATATTCCTTGCAAATATAGTTTCAACAACATAAATGGCAATTATACATGTGGGTCTCATCAGATGGAATAGACAGGAATCAAGTCAACTCCAGCTATGGAAAAAAATTATGGACATGCTAAATCAATATCATCACTCAGAACAAGGCCAGTGGCTAATTGCTGAACAGATTATCAGTTGCTCATAGCAAGTTCAAATGGAAGAAAATGAAAACAAATTCACTAGAACCAAAGTATGATCTTGGGTCAATCACACATATAACTACTCCAACGAGCGCCAGGCTGAAAGGAGACAAGAACCTTTCTTCTATTCTAAGAGCCAACAGACTTGAGGTGGTTTCTTTGTTCAAAGAAAAAAAAGACAAATATTCATATTATATATTATTGTAAAAGTATCCCACATTGATAGTAATGCTGTGTTTTACTTTCCTAAAATAACAGAGAACTGGGAAGGGAAATATAATGTGTATAAATTGTTATTGTCTTGCTTCTCTGCTAGCCATGGGACTAAGATAGTAATCATTTCATTTTGCCAAGGAAGCTAGGTTTTAACCATGAATTTTATTACCAAGAAGTCATTCTTTTACTTTGTTATAAAAGTCAAAGCTCTCTTCAGCTCAGTATTGACTAGGTTTGATTATTTGAAGATGTCTGATCCCAAAAAGATTTACAGCTTTAGAAATACTATATAGGATTGCTGTGAGTCAGAATTTGTTTATGACAATTTTTAAAAAATAAGTCAGAATAGATTCATTTGCAGTGGGCTTATTGATATTTTCTTATTTGATTCTTCAGTATATTTTGGATGGGGGGGGTTGGAAGATAATTCAAAGTACTTTTGTATCAAATAATGGGCAGTTTGATTGAAGATTTAGACTTTATTTTTCCATAATTGCTTATTTTTGCTTCCACTACCTCTTTTGTTCCAAGAGGTGACAGTGAAATTAGAATGAAAAATCTGTATACCAGAACACAGACAAAATTTATTTCTAAGACTGTCTGGCTAGCAACTGACCATGAGACTCTGGGTGCCCTCCAATGGTGTTGGCTGATGCTGTAAGACTGATCACCTGGCTTTGCTTTAAGTTAGTGCATTGTTGCTGAGCACCACCAAAAGCCACCATGGCCCCACTTGGAGTCCAAGTCTTACACATTTGGAAAGCACAATTCAGGAGATTTCACTGAATACATAAGGTCCCTATATTTCTACTAAGTTAATTTGTACTTTGTCAGTAACACATATAATTTCAGAAAACTAATTTCTTGTACTTCTTTAAATAGAATGAATATTAGAATGCTGTTGTTCAGAAATTGCATATGTATCCCTGAAATAATGATCAAGGGGATGCTCTTTCTAGTAGAGGGCAGAGGAAACAGAGAGGTATAAGGAGCACTAAGGATATGCTTTGAAGGGATGCAGATTTCTTCTCTGTATAGTTATGGACCTCTAAGTATGGCTGTACTGCTTAGACATATTCTGTATTCAGTGGTATAAAATCAGGGCAAAGCCTGACTCCAGAAAAAGGAGAGCTTTCATGTGCAGAGGTGATTACTGGGGAGGATAGCATGGCCCCTCTTAAGAGTAGTTTGGGGAGACTTCTGGGAAGATGGCGACTGAGTAACACATACCAGAGGGACCCCACAGAAATCAGTGTAGGAAAGTTACTAAGAGGGAAATTCCACACTGCTGGGTCACAGAAGGAGCATCATAAGATAAGTAGGCACAGATCCACTAGGTTTTGAGGAGCTGGGGGCTTTTGGCTTACCACAGTGGAGGCCGGCTAGGGTTTGACCTTAGCCCCACCACTGTCTGGGCCAGAGGTGGAAGCAGGGGCTTTATCTCAACACAGCCACAGCTTGTCACTGCCTCGGGGAAGGGATTAAACCCCTCCAGCCCCATGGTCAGTGCTCAGGGCTCAGCTATAGTGTTACTCCCCGCAGCCCTCTCTTCTCTCTATCCTCACACAGACTCAGCAGGCTTAGTTTTTTTTCTTTTCTTTTTCTCTCACGCACCACTGCCGACCTCCAGACCACTCCCCTTAGCCTATTTATGCCTGTCCTCCACCTAGCTTGGAGAGCTCCACCCTCTGTAGTGTAACCCAAGGCTGGGAAAGCCTGCCCAATTTCTTCCTGGGGAAATTCCACCTGCCTGCCCTCTGCAGTGCTTAACAGGTGGCTGGGGAAAAACCGCCCACTTTCTCTGGGGGAAATCTCGGCCACTTTCTCTGGGGGAAATCCCGCCCACTTTCTCTGGGGGACATCCTGCCTGCTTAGCTGGGGGAGCTCCTATCCATCCTCTGTGGTCCCATATGACTGAGGGAACTTCCTCCCACCTGCCGTAGTTCCTCTCACAGCTTA